ACACTCAAAAAATAGTTTAATGACACTTTTCCATCCATAAATTTTAAAATACTAATTTAGTACCCAAATTTATATTCAATTTTTGATTTCGACATCATTGAAACCCCATACTACTAACATCTTTTCCTCGATCATCACTCATTAAAACCTCTCAAAACACCTTTCCCGACTCGCCAATCGTGGGCAATAAAGCCATTGGTTGTGCAGCCACCCCTTCCAAGTCAATTCTGACAAATCTCAACCATTAAAATCCAAACTTCTATCACCAAAAGATCACCGGCCTTCCATTTTCAAAAACCCTTATAGTTTGGACACGGTTTACTTTTGTTCTCTGTCGGCATCTAAATTTGGATGGAAATGGTATTTTAAAAGTTTGTGGTAGAAAAGTGTCATAGACCGTTATTTGGGTGGGAAAAAGTCGTTCACTCTTCTTTTTATAATGTATTTCCTATCAATTAAATAACAAATCATTTTATTTCAATAACAAATTTGTATTGAAAGTTAATTATATAGGGGAGTAGATTCATTTTAAATTCTGGGTTTGATTACAATGTTAGAAACACTAATACATTTTTTTTTTTTATAAATCTCGTTGAATATATACAATTTATATTGTTATCATTAAATTATATTAATCAACATTTAAATAATTTCTACAAGTTTATTTGTTATTTTTACAAGTGATATAAAACACATATTGCATATAAACCCAATTGAATTAAACTGAATTATTGATGATTTGAACTCGCAAAGCCATTGTTAGACCATCTCCATTGAATTAAAAGAAGCACACCAGGATTGGAATATTTCTAGTTTTCTTTTGCGAGAGTTGTGGGAGTAACATGCAATTGAGTTGGCAGATATATATATATCCACTACTTCACTCTGATAATTCCCACTTTTCTTATAACAAAATCATATATATGCTCGCAAAATTTACTTTTCGAATCCAAATCTGGAATATCGTACAAATACGTGCTTACCCACAAATTTTACCAATAACACCTGATTGGTATCGTTATTGCTTTAAGGAAATATCATTGTTGTGAAAAAGACTTGGATTCAATTAACCAATAATTCCACTGCATGTGATCTTCCCAACCCTTAAAGGATAGGATTTCATTCAAATCCTCAATCTAATGTTTCACATATTATTTTACACATCAAATGTCACCTCACTCTCCCTCCTCAATCCAAATATATAAATATATAATCATTTATATAACTGGCCAGAGTGTAACTGCTAGACCTTGTTCTTTATCCCACAAGCATATTTCAATAATTATTTTTAATTCCAGTTCAAACAATATTCATTAATCCCTCCACTCTCTCTATAAATACAAACCGAACAATAGCCAACACAACATGTGAAGCAACAGCAACTCAATACTCAGAAACCATGGAAAGTCAAAGTTTCAGTTCCATTATTTGTCATCTCTTCTTCTTTCTCTTCTCTTAACTTCAGCTTCTGCTCAACTTCGTGAAGACTTTTACAAGACCTCGTGCCCCAATGTTGAATCCCTTGTTCGCTCTGCCGTTCAAAAGAAGTTCCAGCACCTTCGTCACTGCCTCGGCAACTCTCCGACTCTATTTCCACGATTGCTTCGTTCGGGTTAGTGCGTTTGTTTTTTCGCTTTCATTTGTTACAGTCAATCAACACTGAAACTGAAATTTTCTCGTTTAGGTTTCCTTGCAGTAATAAATTGTTAATTGCATCAGTAAAGTGATTCAAAATTTAAGGAATGTGGATTTTTGTGAAAAAAAAAAAAAAAATAGTCTATTTTATTAATTTGTTTGTGGTAGGGATGTGATGCTTCAGTTATGCTGGCAATAGTAGTCCTGAGAAGGATCATCCTGATGACATTTCGCTCGCCGGAGATGGATTTGACACTGTGATCAAAGCTAAGGCAGCTATCGATAGTGTTCCTCAGTGCAGAACACAAGTTCTCTTGTGCTGATATTCTACTCTTGCTACTAGAGATGTCGTTTCCTTGGTATGAATTATTTTTTTCTTTTTTGTACTAGTTACTGCGAAATGATCATCATATGTCAAGAAATTTTTACGTCCCCATGCATTGTTTAACTAAGGGAGATTATCATTTAAATGACACTTTTTAAAAGAAATAAAAGAAAAAGGACACCGAGTTTCATTTTTTTCCATTAGACAGACATTTTTTATCTAGTAAAAATTATTTAAAAAAATTAGAACATTCGTTTATTGATAAAAAAAAATATTTATTTATTGATAGAAAATTATATATTGAATGATACAATGTTCGTTTATTAATTAATATAAATATTTATGTCTTTTATTTTTTAGTTTTAAAATAAAAGTTTTTAATTAATTATCATAAAAGTGTTTTAAATAATGTTTATGTGAAAAGAGAGCATATATTATATAATTTTGCTCCATAAATATATGAATAGCGTAATATACCTATTTACAAGATACTTGTTCATTGATCTGAAAAGAAAATATTGCGGGACAATTTACCCTAAAATCATACAATAAAGAAGATTCTTATTATCGGAAGTTGTAAAAAAGAAAAAAGAAAAATAATAATCTATATCTTGTGTTAACCTTTTGTTTTCTTTTTATGAAACGCATGCATTCATTTCTGTTACTGAAGAATCTACCTTAATGTTTGTCCTTGTGTTATAAAAAACTATATACTTTGAACTGCTACAATATATTAATGAGCATTATGAGATTAATATAAGGAAACTATTATATGGTTTGCTGAATATATATGCAGACTGGGGGACCATTTTATAAAGTAGAATTGGGAAGACGTGATGGGAGAATATCGACAAAAGCAAGTGTTCAACGCAGACTTCCTCACCCTGAGTTTAATTTAGATCAACTTAACTCCATGTTTGCCTCACATGGTCTCACCCAAGCTGATATGATCGCATTGTCAGGTATTTACTTCTAACTAATTAACTATTCATTTTTTCATAGGATTTATCGAAAATTCTCTAATCAGGATGTCGATTTCAATTATATCACGATCATGCTTAAATTTACCCGTAATTAATTAGTCATAATTTCATATTACCATTACTAATGAAAATGTCTTTTTTATATAGGCGCACATACTCTTGGATTTTCTCATTGCAGCAAATTCTTCAACAGACTTTACAACTTCAGCACCAAGAACAAGACTGATCCCACCATAAACCCTAACTATGCATCGCAACTAAAAGGAATGTGCCCCAAAAATGTTGATCCAAGAATCGCAATCAACATGGACCCATCGACGCCTCAGCAGTTCGACAACGCCTACTTCAAGAACCTTAAACAAGGAATGGGGTTGTTCACCTCCGATCAAATTTTGTTCACTGATCCAAGATCAAGAGCGACGGTCGAGCTCTTTGCATCAAATAATGCAGCTTTTCAAAAAGCTTTCATTACTGCTATTAAGAAGCTCGGTCAAGTCGATGTTAAGACTGGAAATCAAGGAGAAATTCGGAGAGATTGTTCTCTTGTGAACTAGAGATTTGGTTAATCTAGTATTAGCTAGATCAATTCTTTAGTTTGTATTATTCTAAAGCGTTTTTGTTTATTTCTTGGTCTTGTGAATTTGTTTTTTGTTTTGATTTTCGTTGGTACGTGATCAAAGGAGCGATATTTTGTTAGTAAAATAATTGATGAATAATATTATGCTTACATTTTGATTAGTTGATGCCAAAGTCTCGTATTAATCTTGGTCGATTATATAGTACAAGTACATCTTCATCACCTAGAAACGTCTTTTTAGGATAAAATTGTGTGAGTTTCAGGGTTGACAATACTTATGAAAATCTACCTACAATGTGTTTGGATCCGACATACATTAACATCTATAATCTTTTAGACTGAACTAAATGATTTTAAGTAATTATCTTGTATTAACTATGCAATTAACTGATCACTCTCAAGAGAGAATCTCATCGAAACCTTACACAGTATCAAAGTTCATAAAAATCAGGACATAATAAAAGAATAATGTATATAATTATCGGCTTATAGCCTTATAGGATGTAGGATCAGGTTGTTTATAGAAATGTTGCATAAGGCAGAAACATTTGTTGGTGTAATTGTTGGATTAGGCAGTAGAAAGAGACATAAAGCATATGTGAAGCCGTGGAGTAGTAGGGCAGGCATGAAGGGACTTTGGACAAAGTTAGGGTCGATCCCCGAAAGACACGTAAAATCTCATCTCATCTCTTATATTATCGTATCCAGAGCTTCGATCTCAATTAGTCTCCCCAAGTGAAATTAATTTTCATATATTTATATCACCATTATCGTTTTACTTGCTACACACACTACAACCCACCTGGGCATGGATTAGGACAACATTTATGATTAATATATTTTTTTAGAGCTAACGGCATTAAATCTCCTTTTAAGTATGATATAAAAACAAAAATCCAGCTCAATTTGTTTATCAGAACACGCTAATCTATTTATTAAAATATACCATATTTGGACCTATGAATTTGTGCTTATAACGGGCCTCCGCAACACCTTAATGGGTTTGTTTAGCATTTGCTTTCATTCAATGGGCTGTGATGGCCCATTACAAAATTAGGTTCCAACATTATGATTTAATATAATATTAAATATGGGTAAATTTCCGGAATAGTGTTTCCACGTTACATAAGTAATTTACAACATTTTGTTAAGTGAACGAGTAAGATGTCAGTCAATTAGAATTATTGTTATGTTACAAATTACTAATATAAAATTTAAAATAATTAATAATTTAAATTATATTTATTATTATTACTATGATCTAAGTGTTAAATTCAAGCCCACAGGATAATTAATGCACATCTACAAGACAAGAAAATAAAAAGAATTAAAAAGACACAGCTTCATTCAGAACTGTTGAAGAAATCCTTACATGGGGTGCAATGATCCACAAGGGGAACACAAGAGGCAATAACCTTTCACTCTGTGTCCCCATAAAAGGACCTCTGACTATTGAATTGATTAATTACGGTGCAGGCTTCTACCACCAATCATAATTCCTAAACCCATTGTTGCCAGAGTTGTCAAACCTGGACGCCGCAAATCTATGATGATGAACCGACTTATTTTTAAATGACCGAGAACTGGAAATATGACCACCCGCAGTGACAGCAGAAATTTTATGACCCTTACTAGTAGGTGTGGCAGGAGACTTCCAACGACTCCTTTTGGTCTCACTATAGGAGGAACGTTCTCCCGGATCCTCTGTTATCCAACCGCCTCTGTGTTTAGATTTTTGTGGCGTTGTAATGCCTATATCTTCATTTTGGGTCTTTCTCTTTTTATGACCCTTACCATGATCATTAGGGGCAGATTTGTATCCTGAGTAGTCTTTATTTTCTCTATGAGGTCTAAGTGTTGGAGTTGATGAATCAAAATTCTTCCTACGAATCTGCACAGGATCAAAGATATAACTACTACATTTTGAAACGGAAAACTGGACAATGGAAATTGAAAAATAAAATAAAACAAATTTGAAAAGGAATGACAAAATACAGAATGACTCTGGGAACATCTAGCTTACCTTTGCGGAACTCACACATTCACGTGCAAAATGTCCTTCTCCACCACACTTGAAGCATGAACTAGGTGACGCAGTATCTGTGGTTTCACCTCGTAACCTGTTGCATGCCTACATAAAAGAATTTTCATATAAAATATGCCGACTACTTAAGAATGAACAACCAAAATTCAGAACTCATTTTTACATGACAAAGAGAACCAATGTTTTCAATGCTAAAATGACAGGAGGTCAGCACCCCATGATAGAGATGCATCAATTGAATGGAAGACGAAGGATATCTGCAAATGTTATGTGATTGACAGAGAAAAATAAAAATTTTCATAGTCAAGAATATTCAACAAAAAGCTGATGAAAGAAGTGACATTACTGTAACACAAGGTTAAAGCACACCCCCTCTTTCCAACAGACCAAAATGACAATGAAAAGACTTACCAATCCAGTGTGACCAGAGTGACCGCATTTGAAACAAGAAACTTCTCTTGAACGATTATCAGTGATGTTAACACAGCACAGATGGCCATAACTCTTGCAAATGTAACATTGTATTTCCTAGTGAAAGAAATAAAACACAATGGGAAAATAGTTAAAGAACAACATATTCAGAACATATGGTAAGAAACTATAAAACTGACGGAAAAGGGTAAGAAGGAATAAAAAATGAACTTCCGAAGGGAATACAGACCTTGAGGTCATCAAGTGAATAATTGTTCCTGCATGAAAACATGTCATGCCCATAATCTCCACATTTCAAACATACTTTAGCATTCTGAGAGCCACTCTTGTACTTCTCTGGACAATCTTTTGCACGGTGACCAACTTTTTTGCAAATAAAGCAATCTTGCGCCTACAAAGAAACCAAATATGATTGAATTACCAGATGACTAATGACCTGAATCACAAACCAATCTTGTGCACACAAAAAAGTTTAAAAAGAGAAGGTGAGAATAAAAATATGCATACATAATAGAAATAGAAAAAAAGAAGTTATTCCTCTGTTCAGAGTTTCAAAAAAAATATATAATAAATAAACAAAGAGAATTTGATTGAGACCCCGACCCATTAAATAGTATGTGAAAACTGCACTGCAACTTCACTGGGTTAGTTTTCTTTTTCTTTTCTTTTCTTTTTTCTCTCTGTTTTTTATCTTTACCTCCTAAACCAAGTGTCAGCAAAATTACATTCCAAGACCCCTAATTAGCTTTGGAGTTGATGGTCCAAAGTGAGCCCCTAACCAGTCTTATTCATTTCAGTTTTATGACAACTTCAAAGAAAGCCAAGCAGTAAAAATGTTCTTTATGTCAGAGACGTCTACTTTCAAACAATCAACAATTCCACATAACATGATAATATAAGTGGCACACAAAAATAACCTCTACAAAGGAGATAAAATCATTATGATTATAGTAGATCATTCCATTATTAATAGATGGGAAATGGTAGAGGTTTCAGTTTCACAATTTACAAAGTTAGTAGATATCCTTGACATAAAGAACCTAGCGATCAACACCAAATACATATGCCAAAATGTTTCAAATATGCTCAATAAGTAAAGAGTATAAAAACATATGAACATGCAAAAGTAACACAGATACTAATAGACCAGTTTTGTAAATCAAGTTTTAAGTACAAACAGCATTACATTAGGAGAAAACTATATTTTATGAAATCAAAGAGCATATAGTAAAAAGCAACCTAAGTACAGAAGCACAAACCTCTCCTGTAAACCAAAAAAAGAAAAAAGGTTCATTGCATGCATAAATCCCTGCCATAGATATCAGTATTCATAGCACTGCTTAATACATCCTATTTGCTCATTAACATAGTTGTTTTTATCTAATCTTAATCTAACACAATTTACACTTAGTGCTTCATATTACCTGAGCTCAATAATTTCTTTATCCTTAATAACAATAAGAAAAATTAATATGCATAAATGCTCACCTGAACATTACAATAAAAACATATTTGCTTGTTATTTTGAAGTAATTTATCTTAACAGCAAGAAAGATATAAAGAAAAAGTCTTTTGACTAGGGAAACATATCTTGGAAAGCAAGACTCATCAACTTTAACAAACAAAACACATACAAAACAGCTCAAACAATGGGATATACAGCTTCGAATAACAGTATTTTCTTACAAACCTTGGAGCATTGCTTGACACCATGGTCCAAACTCCCACAAATAAAGCACGGTTTCTTACGCTTAGCAGATGAACAGTTCACAGCCATATGCCCCTCTTCACCACAATTATAGCAAGTTTGCCAACCGCTATCTGGAGGATCGAAATACCTTGGCCCCCGCTGATAGAATAAATATCAGAAAGATACTAGGCTAAGGCTCCATATGGAAATTGCATATTTTTCAAAATGCCAGTTCTAAGCAAATGTTTTGACTCACAAGAAGCTTTCGCAGGACAATATTATCTGATATATCTGAAGCTTTAACTGCCTCTTCACCATTCTCAACTGTCTTGACATGAACTTCCTTCACAATGACCTAAAGCAATCCTTTATTACAAATTTGCCTAAACTATGCAGAATAAATAAAGCAAAAAAGTTAAAGTTAAAGAAAACGATAATAAACAATAAAAATAAACTCACAGATTGGTCTCCAATTTCCATCATTTCAATCTTCTTCTTCTTTTTCCTAACCCTAGTTCTCTTATTATCACTCTTCACGTCTTCAATGACAGTCTTGTCATTGGTTCTACTTGGACCTGCAGTGACAACCCCAGGTTCCAGCACAGACGAAGAAGAGAGATCCACCTTTTTCTCATCATATAATATGACGTCATTGTCATCGTCACCATCATTTTGAACTAACTTGGCCGCACGCATCAATAGATGTTTCTCCACAATCTTAAGGCTGAGGTCCTCGTTTGCCTCTTCATCATCACTGCTCACTGCTGTGACCTCCTTCGACTTTTTTTCCTCTTCATCAGGATCCGATTTCTCTTTTTGTTTTAGTCCCTGCGCTCAAAATTGTGAAAGAACCGTAATTTGAAGGAGAAGTGAAGAAGAATCAACTTTTATTTAATCATAACAAATCTACAATCTATGTATTTTAGGAATAGGTGCTTCCGCGGCAGCTTTTCAGTATGGTGACTGGTTCTTCAGTGGCTATGGCACTGGAGGAGAGGGCTGGTTGAGTTATAGGATCTGTAACTTAGGAATTAGGGTTTCAATTGGAATTTTTTTTTAAAGAAACTATTTGACAAGTATTTTAACAATAATAAAAACATTGCCGAAAACATAAATAATCTGTATCAGCCCTAATTATCTTTTGAAGAAAATTATTATTTATCCAAATTTATTTCAGGATGGATATAAAAGATGACAACCAATACATGTCAATTTTTTTAAGCAATGCATTTTGAAAGAAAGTTGGAGATGAAAGGCAAAGGAAAATTTACAAAAGAACAGAAGAGAAATATTAAAGAAATTATTTTGCAACTATTGAGGAGAAACATTCAGCAAAACATTATAACCTTTAAACTAAAGGAAAAGGAATTTCATTTTCATTTTATGTAAAATTCAGAGAGGTCTAATTAATTCTTTACAATTAGAAAGTCTCTCGACAATAACATTGACAATGATGATAATTTCTAATTTAAAAAAAAAAAAAAAAAAATCTATAAGGAAAGAAATCAGAGCAACTCATACCAGTAAAACATACCCTAAGATAGGAGTTCTCAAGCTGACCATTTGAAGGTGAAACTGTTGTAGCAGATATTTGTGATCTTACTTGTTCATTTCTGGAACCACGGCCTCCGTCTGAAACAGAATTTCCCCTACCACGATCATGCTTTTTCCTATTTACATCTAAACCTACCTTGGCCTCAACAGCTTCAGAATTCTTTTGTCTTCCGTCAACTACTGCCTGGTTCAGTTTTAATCAAGCATCAGTGTAATCATTTTCCAAAAACAAAACAAGGAGAGAATTTATTGTTGAAGTGCATTAAGTACTTAACATATTAATCAGTGCCATAAGAATATCACCATTAGATTGGCCTCATTATTTCATATGTAAATCAGAAAATTATATCAAAGGCTCATGAAGGAAAACATTTGAATATGAGAAAACGTGTGAACACAGCCAATAATTTAGAATAAATATTAGTACCAGACTTCTAACTGAACTGGATTTTAAACCATCAACCTACCTCCACAGTTTCAAAAACAGCCGAGTTATCATCTTCTTGAAGTTTCTGGTGCTTTTGAGTGTTTGATTGAATCAGAAATTCCCCTCCGATCTGGAATCATTTCATGAAGAAATTGAAACACAAGTAATAAACCCAAAAAGGTACACTAACAGCTACATTTTTAGGGCTAATATTTGGGAACCCGAAATCATCCACAAGGTTATAAATATAACAATTGTTACCAAGCATATAGCATCGTTTATTTTAAAAGGCATCTTCCAACATAAACATAGATGTAAATTCACACACAAGCAGACAAACCACATATGCAACATTTTAACACAAGTACGGAAACAATCTCATCAACTTAAAGTCTCCAATTTATAACTAAAACCATGCATGTGCCTCCAAAATAAATCTATTATTCATTCTAATTCTAGATTACTAGCTGATCACAAACTCTCATTATGTTACACATTATTCAGTTCTATTGACGTTGCCATTTAACAATCTTACAATTTGCTTGACACCAACTGTGTCCCTCGTGATAAGGAACATCTCAATCTCACCACTTCTTTATTTATTGAACCGTCTCATTCTTTGAAACAGGTAAATTATTGGAGATTGAATTAAGTAGCTTGCATAAGTTGAGATTAAACTCATATTTATCTCAGCTGATTTCTGAGCAATAAACAACCCATTAAAAAGACCTGAGCTAGCATCATCACTAGCACAGCCACGACCACACTCGTTAACTAAAACTCTCATTTGTAAGAGTTCAATTGACTTAATTTCTGACTGATTAGAGTAACACAAGACCTATGTTATATAAATGGTTGTAGTTAAAGCAGCCGTCAACATTTATATACTAATGAATCTCTACAAATTAACCAACAAAACCGTTATTTACCTTTGTTCAACTCCACCCCCAATTTGAAACACGCCCTAGCACTAGAATTAAATAAAAGAACAATAATAGTCCAAGAATTGAATATACATAATACACCATATACAAGATCAGCAAAACTCTAGACTGAATTGAAGCTTACATCATCATCTGAATCACTAGAAGTTGAGGCCTGGTTCATGTCCCCGGCAGCCACGGATCTCGTAGCCGTAGAAATAGAGGCCCCAGTGTTCTGTTGTTGCTGCGGTTGCTGGGCAGGGACCTTGCCGACCATGCGAGCTAGGCAATTTTCGTGAGGGAAAGCAGATCATAAAGGGTGTGTTTTTGGGTCTAAAAAGGAGTGGTTTTGCGGTTACTGGAAGAGAAAGACATGGTGAACAGAAAATTAGGGTTTTGAAATAGTTGAAAAGGGTTAATGCCACGTATACCCCTATCAGTAAGGCCAAGGCGTTGAGGACAATTAGCCTGCCGTCTATTAATTTTGATATTTAATAATATATTTTAATAACTTATAAAAATAACGTAAAATTTAACCTTTTACAAAAATTAAATGAAATACATTTTTACCAAAATTTTAAATAATTTTTACTAAATCCCATCCGATCCATATATTAGATTGAGTGATGTTATTTAAGTCCCATTAAATCTCTTTCTAGGCCTCAATAATAATTAAAATTATTTTAAAAATTGAATTTATAAGTATCTTGTATTTCATTCCAAAATTACCTTTCTCTAATATTTTTTTCTTAATTTCTTTGTTAACCCCACCATCCCTATTTTTTTTTCTACCGAGTTAAATTTCATTATTTCAAATGGCCATCTTTGTTAACTCCACCATCCCTATTTTATCTCCTCGTTATATTTCAATCGTCATTTTTGTTTTTGATAGAATCTGAGTTCACTTTTGATAAACTTTCTCCTATCCAAATTCTCATACATAGTATTTTTATTATAATCAACTTTTAACTTCCATGAGAATTATGAAAATAAAAGATGGAATTTCTTTTTTATAAGATGAATGTTAAAATAATTTTCTTTTCCATTGTTCCCCAATATATCACAAAATTAAAGAGTAGTTTAAAGTTAAACTAAATTTCTGAAATCAAACGCTAAACAAAGACAATTAATGAGAATATCCATTATTTCATCTCCTAAAAGAAAAAAAAAAAAAAAATCAACCATGACAACATATGTGTTTGTTTCATTATTTTGGGTAGGATTTTTGAAAAAGTTGAGTTAGGTGATTATTACGAGGTAAGATTTAAAAATTAACAAAAACACCCTCTAGGTTTGTTAATTTACTAAACACCCATACAATAAAATATTAAAAATTAACAAAAACACCTCCACCCACTCATTAAATGCCGACAACTGGCCACCACTGTTGGAATCTGGCAAATGTGAGTGGGTGGGGTTGTTTTTGTCAATTTTTAAACTTTTTTTTTTGTTGGAGGTGTTTAATTAAATTAACAAACCTAAGGGGTTTAAAAATAGTTGTATTGAATTGAATTTTCAGAATAGAGAAACAAATATGTATTTTGGGTAGGATTTCAAAAATTATACCCAAAATAACAAAACAAACACACCTAATTTCCAAACAAAGAATTTCAAATTGCAGTTTTAGAAAATAATAAATAAATAAAGGATTTCTCATTGAATACATTCCTTTTTATCTTGCCTCCGATCCAAACAAGTCGGGAAAAGCTAAGGAAAGCCAAGGTAATAAAATATCCTATTTCATTTTTCATTATTTAGGAGATTTCCTGTCTCTAGATAACTTGGATTAGCTTAGTGTGAGTAGGGACTCAATGAAAGGCTATCTCGCTGGGAGTGAGAAGTCTTTCTATGTCAATCAAACTGACTTAAGCAATGTAACAATAGTGTGGTTATGCAATAAATAGGGGGGCAACACAAGGGCTAGGTCAAGGATAGACCCGGAATTACAAGTATTTCCCCAACTATAGGTATTATCTCTCCCCGGTGTTTGAGCGGGAGTGCATTTACATGGAGTTGAATAAGAATCAATATGTTTTCTCCCATAGAGAGAATAGGTTGCGGCTTAATTTTCCTTTTACTTTGACTTTCTCAGCACTCAATCCGTTAGTTTTGGCAGTTCCTTCTAGACCTCATCCTCACTATGAGAACAAGCCTCACTCAAAAGTTGGGATTGATGAATGCAGTTTTTGCAAGCATAAGGATCATTGAAAGGCCCAATCTCCTAAGCTGTTTAATAGAGGACCACAACCACACCAACAGAAGCATCATTTCAGGACTTTACAATTTGGCAACTAATCGCAACCACGACCATATTGACCTTCATCGTTTAAGATTGCAGCAGTTGTACCACCATTAGTGGCAATCCAGGAATTTCACTCGATGGGGGCACAAAATAAACAAAAAAAATTAAAACCAATCATATTCATACTTTTTTTTTCATTATGATGAGCTTCAACAAAAAGTTACAAAATACAAATAAATATCTTAAAAAAAACATAGTTTTTGTAAAAATAAAACATTTTTTCTACAATTGTCCTTGACGAGTTTTCATATTCTAAAAACATTGGATAATCATCTCATCATCAATTGTATCAAATACATCTTTCTCAGTATAGGTGACCAAGCAATCATTCATCCATTGATCTCCCATTCAATTGTGTAATCGACTTTTCACAAGATTCATTGCAGAAAAAGCCCTTTCAACGGTCGCAATCGCAACTGGTAAAACCAATGCAAGTTTCACAAGTTTATACACCAACAGATACAAAATGTCTTTTTTAAACCTAACTAAATTCTTAGCCAAATCACCAATTGTAACTCAACAAATTCATCACGAGAACGCATGTCAATAACATAAGTCTCAGCTTGGTTCTCAAGTACCATCAACTTAAGTGCAGAAAAACCAGATGGATAAAACTAGGCAAAACGCATCAACTTATGCTTAGGGGTATAAACGAGCCGAGTATCACCCTAAATGAGCCTGATTCGGTTAAGCATTAGATGAGTTTGAGTCAAGTCATGAGTCAGGAAAATTCGACTCGTGACGTAACTCGTTTATAATCGAGCCGACTCGTGACTTGACTCGAAAAGCTCGATTATGACTCGATTAACGCAAGTTCAAATTGGCTCGATTACGGTTCGTTTGGCCCTTTTTCTTATATAACCTGTAGATCTTGTTTTACACAAATCAGATAAAAAAAAAAAATCTAAATTTTGTGAAGGAACAAACCTATTGCAGTTGAGAAACGCTAGTTAACGAACTCCTCACAAATTCTTCGCAAAAAACAAGCGTCATCGATGACGGACAAGGCGATGGGAAATGACGATTGGGTAGTTCTTGTGTTTGTGGGCGATTGGGTGTGATTTTGGGGAAATCGTTTATGCGATTTGGGTTAAGGGTTAATTTGTGATTTTTTAAACCTTTTGCATGTCAAATTATAAAACAAACCTAAAACTTGTATTTTTCGCCCTAAACGAGCCACTATTGACTCGCAAGCTGAATCAAGCCAAGTCGAGGTAGACTCGAACTCGACTCGGTACCTAATTCGAGTCTTACTCGAGCCGAGTCGACTTGCGAACGACTCAGCTCGGCTCGGCTGACGCCTCTACTTATGCTTGTCAAAGCAAATAATGAATTACTTGGATCTAAACTTGTCATACAAAAAAGCAACTCAGTACTAACCTTAGTGAAACAAGTGTTAAGTTCTTGAAGTTGCATATCTATCACTGTATAAAACAATTCAACTCAATAGTGATGCAAATTTGTCATCTGCTCCACTCTCTATCGTGGCTGCCCTTGAATTGCAAACATATCATCCATATTCAAAATGGCAATATCATGCTTTTAGCTAAATGAAGAAACTTCACTCAACGAAGATTCCCATCCTTCATCTCTCAACAACTGTAATCGTTGTTTGGAAACTTTGACTAGAGTCATAGCATTTACAATGTCTTGATCTTTTCTCTGCAATACTTGTGACAACCCATTATTAATTGCCAATATACCTTTCATCATATGCAAGCTAAATGCAAAATCAAAGGAATAGATTAAATCTAATAGATTACATGTTTCACCCCTTTGTTCAGGATTTAAACCATCTTCTTTAATAACCTTAAGCACATCACCCACAGAGGAGAACAAAATGATTGAGTTGATCAGTGTATAATAATACGAGCCCCAGCGTCTACCACCAACTCGTTTTAGACTTGTCTCTTGATTCAAACCTCATCTCTTGCTAACTTCACCAATTTCTAGTATTACTTCAACAAGTTTACTAACTTGGTTCTCCTAGAGCATGTCTCGATGATTGCATGAACCTCCAACAACATTTATCAAATTAGTAACCAAGCTAAAAACAAAGCAATAGAAATGTGATTTTTTGCAACGGCTACTAGTGTCAATTGAAGTTGGTGAGCAAAACAGTGAACATAATAAGCATATTCATTCTCCCTCAAAATCAAACTTTTCAAACCATTAAATTCTTCTTGCATATTACTTGGCCTGTCATAACCTTGTCCACGTAATCTTGACAAACTCAATCCATGCTTAGAAAATAATGACTCGAAAGCCATCTTAAGTGATATTGCAGTTGTGTCACTAACATGTACAATGCCAAGAAACCGCTCAAGGACATGACATTTTTTATGTACATAACGTATGGCAATAGCCATTTGTTCTTTAATTGACACATCATGAGACTTATTAATCAAAACTAAAAGGATGTCATCTCCAAGATCACTAATGATAGGCTTTGTGGTTTTATTTGTTGTAGCATTCACAATATCTTTTTGAATCACTGGTGCTATCAATTTAAGATTTCTAAGTGCATTCTTCAAAACAACACTCTTAAAATGTTCATTGTGCAAAGGTAGAAAACGAAGAAGTTTGAGAAAGTTACCTTGGTTTTTGAGTTTCATCATAACTATGAAATGCCAACCCTTGACGCAAAAGAAATATAATGCAAACACTGGATGCAGTCAAGCGAGTTTGGTATTCAATTTGAACTTGATCTGATTGCTTAGAGAGAGCCACTTCGATATGTTGCCTTTGATTCATTAAATTCACACAACTCTGTCGTGCTTGGTTGTGGCACTATTTGGCTGGCCAACATGAATTTCAAAGCGTTCTGGTTTCTTCCAATTATGAAATCCCTCACTGATGAAAGCATCACTACCAACTTGGCTCATAATGACAGGTTTAAGAAGATAACAATACAAGCAGAGTGCAGCATTTTTGGTCACACTATACTCAAGCCAATCATCATACACACCAAACCACCAAGCAAGATTAAATCAATGATATGCTTTTCCAAATTTTGTTAATGGAAATGCATGATTTTGAGGTTGACAACAACTTTTTTACAAGTAAAATCTTCGAATTACATCCCTATAATTAAGATGATAATGATTGATTTTAGGCCGTAGA